ACCCGGAATTTCTCAGTGGATGGAGTTGGCACAAACTGGATACCAACAGTTTTTCTTCATCCGTGCTTGGGAGAATGGACGCCGCTGGGCTGAAATTCTGACAGACCATGGCCTTGGTTCCTTAGAACTTTCAAGCTTCTTGGATATGTGCAGAGATCCCAAATTGCTGGGTTGGAACTTTGGTATTCCAGAACCTCAGTGGGATAATTTTGGCAACACAGTGGAGGAAGCCTTCAACAATCCCTTGTTTGCCAAATTGCACTATCGTTTCAAGCAGGAGGAAGAGATTGGCCGTGTCATGCACCTTTTGTCTGAACTTGTTTGTGACTTTTTCATCAAGGTGCTTCCCAAGTGGGTTCTTAAGCATTCGATCTTGTGGGAAGAGTTTATGATTTTGGATCCACACACAAATCTCCCTGTTTACAAGACTTCAGAGGCCGCATTATATGCAGAAACGAATCCAGAGAAGTATCATACACATTTTGCTATGAACTTCAAGAAATTCCGTTTTTCTGCAAGGATTGTGTGGTATTTGATTGACCGTGACAGAAACCATTTGGAGAGTTTTCTTCACAACTCCAACAGTAGATTTGTGCAACATGCATGTTATCAACTTCGTGATTATGTTCAGGCGCGTGTTGCAGTTTCTGATCCCTTGTATGAGATGATCAAGAAGGAAGAGTTTGAACGCCAATACAATTCCAAGTTTTTGGAGGCGATTTCTTGCTCTCGTGTTGTAGTTGAGCCTGTAAGTTCAGGGACGTATGAGCCATCATCGAAGCTGAACTTAAAGGTACTACAAGACATCCTGAAGGGTATCTCCAAGATCCAGAAGGATGAAGAGCTTGCCAAGAAACGTGATGAAGAAGAAGAACAGGCAGCTCAAAACATCTCATACCTGTTGGCAGATGATATGGAGCTTGATTTTGATGATGATGATGTTCCAGTATGGCGCTCCATTGTCGACAAGTACAGAGGAGGTGATCAGGTGCTACAAGGAGAAGCTGTGAAGATTACTCACCTGTTCAGGGATCAAAAGGATAATGAGAAGGCGACAGAAACTTTCAGTTCAGAGAGGACAGATTTTTATGAGACCTCAGGACCTCTACCAAGGACCGAGGGAGAAAATCTTGTAGAGGACTTGCTCACCAAGGATGTTGCAGAACAATTTCCTTCAGAGGAACCAAAGATGGAAGTTGACCAGGAGGAAGCCAAGGAAGAGTCAACACCACACTTTCTGTCAAGAGAGAAAGGTGAGGACTCGACTGCATCGCACTTACCATCAGGTGAGATGGATGCTAACCTTGATGATACTTCAGGTCATCGGAAATCTAAGAAAAGCCGCCTGAATAAAAGTCCTGATCCTCAATTTCATGAAGAAGTTCAGGATGATGCAACCATGGAAGAGAAGAAAGAGGCGGTGGAGAAAATAAAAGAGGTCAGAGAGGATGATGAAGAGAAGAAATTGGAGGCTGAAATCCAAGAATCTTTTCCATCTGAAGTAGTTGTTGAAAAGGATACAACAAAAGCTGACAATACCTATGAATTGCATACTTCACCTTTGAAGTTGCTTGGAGAGCTTACAGGAGATCCAGGTATTGGCTTTTATCAACTACGATTCAGGGAAACTCATGCAAGATTGCTGAATCATGTTTGTTTCAGAAAAGGTGAGATTTCCCATCCTCATTATCAGTCAAGGATCAACGAGAATGATTTTGTTCGATCCATTCGAAATGTCTGTCCAGTACCTCCACCTGTTTGTTATGAACATGAACGAGGGCATGATTTGAGGAGATTCTTCATCAATGATGACCGCATCATTTATTTGGATGGCAGGTATCAGGTCGATCCAAGGGCCCTTGAAAGGGCAGGTCATGCTCGAGAAGAATTGGAGGATACGAAGAAGAAACTCAAGGATGAACTGGAATCATATGGTCCCAAGGGACCCAGTTGGGACTTTGTCACCTTCTATGAAGAGCTGTGCAGAAGGTTCCTCAAGGGAAGAATAGAAGAACAATATGGAACTAACTTATTGGCCAGCTCAGAGTCCTTGACATTTTTATCCTGGAACTATGGCAACATGGTTCGTGGTCAGAAGTACACCACACCAAGGTTTCTCCAAGGACTTGATGGTGCAATGAAGCCACGCAAGCAGAGTGCCATGTCACTTCAGAATGAGCAATTTGAGAACAACCTTTTCTTCAACATGCTCTTCTTTTTACGTGCACATGTCGTGATTCTCCAGGAAGCTCATCTTCTTGTTCCTGCCAAGGAATTTATTGAGCAAAAGAATTGGACAGTTTGTTTCAATGATTGGGAGAATCTTGCAGTGATGGCTAGATTGGCACCAGGTGGATATGTCAAGATCATTGCTGGACATGACCAAGATCTTGGTCACTGTGAACAGCGTGATGTAACTTGGGCAATCTACGAGATTTGTTTTGGAGAAACAAGGCCTCGTCAAGATTTCAAGGATGCAGACTTTGAATTTGATGACTATGGTCCAGAGGACAAGCGTGTTCCACTTACACGAGCGAACATGCATACCATCAGAGTCTGTAATTATCATGTTGATACACACCGTGCTGTGGATGCCCACCTACTGACAGGAGAACAGACAGCATTGATGCTTTACGAGTGTTTTGTCTATGAGGTGGACATCATTTCTGGTGATGCAAATAGTTTGGCCTACAGAATGTCTGGGTACAAAAGGCAGCCAATGGCTAACTACTATTACAGCACCATGCAGCATTGGATCCGCAGGTTTTCAGAAGCTCGTGTACAAGCAGATCCTGGTATCAAAGCACCTATTCCCAGAACCTTTTACAGTTCAACTTCACAGGTCCTCAAGAAGTGTGAAGATTACTTTGACAAACTCTGGGAAGAATACTCTACTGTTGAAAAGGAAGAATACCAAGGATCAAGGCTTGGCGATACATGTTTGTCTACCATTGTTGAACGGGGTCATTCAATGAGTGAAGAGGAATATGAAAATTCCACAGTGAGCACGAAAGAGTTCATCTGTAATTTTTCAGAGAACTTTGCTATGATTGACACAGAGGTTATGTGCTCAAGGCCCACTGACGAGGATAGTCATGGTCCAATGTTTATTTCACTCAGACCAGCTTCCCTTTCATCTGGAGACAGAAGACAGTATCGCACAGCAGCAACGCTTCAAGAAGCGAACGTGCGGAGGAAGGAGAGACAAAAGCAGAATAGAAAGAAAGGAAGGCCGCCAACTTCTGATCAAGCAACTTCATCGTTTGCAGCGGCATAATTCCTGAGCGAAGGCTGAAATTTAAAGTCAAGCTTGGAAGCAAGGTATCAACTGTAACCAGAAGTATCTTCACTTCCTAGCCATCATTAAATTGCTAGGCTAAAGTTTTAATGAATTCTGGTTTGCAATGAGGAGAAACTTTTTATCAAAGAAGATACTCCTGCATTCCAGGTTTATACGCTTTAGCATGCAGATAGGTATGGACAGTTTTGCATAACTGATGATATCTATCACAGCCGCTCTTTCTGAGATGACCTCTAATGGACAACCATTCATGGTTGATGATTAAGTCATTTCATGATTTGCAATTGTAGTGCAAAATTTTTTGTACATACATTTGCCGGTATCTCCTTCTTGTGTTTTGATGTGAATGTGAAAGAGAGTCCTTTTGATGCAGTTTATTTTGTCTGTGAATGAAAGCGGTCGAGACCACGTCACGAGAAGATTATTCCTCGGACCGTACGCTCCTTGCATTTTGCAAGGCATCTTAATTCATTGCATTGTGCGGTCTTGAATTTTTAGTTCTTTGTTACGCGAGTGTCGTTTGATTCTTTTATAGGTCTCTGTAGAGAAAAAGCCGCTTTCCCTTTTAGTTGATTTAGCTCAGGCCCTAAAGAGCTAGTGAGCGCCGGTACATGGTATCTCCGCCTGCGAAAAGTACAGTCTCCAGCCGAGGTACATTATCGATTTGATTTTGTACTTGAGGTGAGTCAGCTATTGCTCCCTCACTGTATTTAGTAGCTATGAGATTACCTTCTCTGAAGTGTGAAACACACCGGATTAGGTAAGTACATGGCACCGTAGTTTCCTTTTAAGTTGTCAGAGCTAGCTGGACTGTTTTAGCCTTGCAGTAGAAAAAGAGTATGCGACATACGCAATCAGCTAGAAGTGGACATGAATCTTGTGCCTGCTGAAAAGTAGAGCCTACCTGTACAGGGTTCCACTCCAACAGCTGATATAGTGTGTCCATGCTTGACTGCTTCAAGGCTCAAGAGAGGGTCAATGGACCTAAGAGGATAAGACTCAGCGTGAGTAAAAGACACTAGCGGTCTGCACCTCTACCGTGTACGCCCTAGTCACACTTCCCCCCCCCCCCCCCGCGGTTCGACTCCCCCCTGCGCGCGGTGAGCGGGACCACCAAGCAGCTGCAGCACACCAAGCATCTGCAGCGCCCAGCGCAGCAGCGGCAGCAGCAGCAGCAGACCACCCAGCGGCGGCAGCGGCAGCAGCAGCAGCAGCATACCCAACGACGCGGCAGCAGCAGCCGCAGCAGACCACCCAGCGCCAGCAGCAGCAGATACAAAAGCAGCAGACGACCCGGCGCCTGCAGAGCACCCAGCGCAGCAGCGCCCAGCGCAGCAGCGGCAGCAGCAGCACCAGCAGCAGCAGCACCAGCAGCAGACCACCGGAAACCCGGCTAGCTTTCGTTCACCCCCTCTGGCCTCAAGTGGGTAGGGCGTCCTGCGAAGTCTTGTAGACTTCGACAATGTCTCTTGGTGGCTCGTTTTGATGTTTTTTATATAAATGTTTTTGCGCAAAGAAGTTGAAGCAGCATGCAATGTTGAATGCTCCGTCCAAGCATTTACGGAGCATGCGCCATTCCGCCGCCCACTGACCTGCCTCCACCTCTCTCACTTGATCCGACCTTCGTGGTGGACGCTTTCGGACGCCCTTCGGACGCGCTTGCGAGCGTCGTGTTCGGCTCGACGGAGCTGGGCCTGAGGCCATCAACAAGTTTTCCTGTGCAGCGCTGATGGTAAGAGTCCCCAGATCTGGCACCACACCAACTGGGTGGGGGGGGGGCGTGTTGACGTGTCTACCTCACGCTGGGCTGGGAGGAGTCACACGGCCGGGGTGAAAGAGTGAAACACGATGTTCACACGTTGTGCTCACAGACGATCGAGAGCACCACGATGAGTTCTTTCCAGTATTAGAGTTTAAGCTCACACAAGTTAGAGTCAATTCTTCCAGGTGATGTTTTTACAGTTTGACAATTGCTCCACTGGGCGCATCCGGCAGAGTCCACGTTCGTGGAAAATGCATGGAATGATGTTCTTGTAAGATAGACGTGTGAGTGCCCATGCTCCGGATGTTGGTGGACATTACCATGGTGTAAGGGGAGTGGAAGATGGTGCTACCATGTTCCACCCAACTACACCTGCCAATGTTGCTGATCCTTTTGAGTCTTGGCAACACCATGGTCAAGGGGTTTTCGGACAAGCATGGTCAAGCAATATATCTGTGCAGGTGATGATGGACGTCCGAAGGTCCGAAAACGAGCCATGTATATATACATAGTACCTAGAACCTGATTGACACCGGTTTTGGATCCAACACATGGTTTTTTCCTATCAAAGCAGAGGTCACATGGGTTCTAGGTATATATATATATATATTTATAAGAGAACTCTTCAAATCCAGCTGGTCTTCGTGACCAATATGGGCATTCCAAGCAATCTGTCAACTCGAGGAGGGCGGCTTTTGGGGAGCCACTTCAATGTCCACAGTAGGTTTCAATACAAGAACGGAGATCCAGAGTCGAATCTTTGATGATATTGTCTTTTGGCAGACGTACATCCTCATCCAACATGTACCAATTCTTCATTGCTAGGATGATACAATGCCTGCCGTGGTTCCTTGTGGATGATGCTTGTGCAACTGGCTCGTGGCTCTTGTGACTCGGTGCTTTGGCCTCATCATGTCCACACCACTCACACCGTCCGTTCTTTGGCCGTTCCTTTCTTTTCACTCACACCTGGAAGTCCTGCTTGACCTCATCCATGGATGATCCCTTCTGAACTAGGCTAGGTCAATTGAGGATGTGGAATTGCTTGATTTTTTCATCTAGGTCCTTCACTCAAACAACCCTTCTTCCCACCTTCCACACCAATGAAACTCCGAGCTTTGTGAGATGTGCTCAGGATTACATCTTGCACAAAGAGACCCCGTGCATGCAGGAGTGGGGCGTCAGCAGAACTGCTTTTGAGACCTGGTTGAGTTGGCCAATAGGGGGGCTACAACTGATAGTGCACATCACGAGCTGAAGACCAAGTTGCAATCTCAAACCAACCAATTCCGAGTGATTTTCCATTTGCAATCTCAGACCAACCCGCCCAGAGTGCTCCAGAGTGCTCACCAGCTCAGCAGATCTCACCAGCTCAGCAGATCACCGATGATTCACCCAAAACCACCGGTTTGGTTCGTGGAATTTCATGGTCTTCCGATAACCATGGGGCCATGGCCATCCACGGAACCATGGGGGCCGTGTCCAGGGTTTCGTGTCCAGACTTTCGTTCTCATCTGACGCTCAGCGATGCCGGACATGCAGGACTGACTCTGACACGGACCGTGCACCGGACTCCGCGGACCGTGGTTCTCCACCCCCAGGACCCCAGCAACGCAGGAGCCGCGAGGGGTCCGACCTGGGGCGGCCATGAGCGATGCGGCGATGATGCGGATGGTCCGATGGGTCTGAGATGGAGCAGATGGGCAGAGTGAGTCCCAAAAGTGAGTCCCCACTGGTTCTTAGAGCTCTGATGTCTAGATGGTCCCGAGTTTTATTTGTTCGCTCACATCCAATGCCAACCTCGAGTCTCCGGGATTGGTCTACATCGAATAATCCTTGCCGGGTCGGACCATTTCAATCCGGGTGGTCTTTTTTCTCGCATGAAACGGAGGAAGGAAAGGAAAGGAAGGAAAGGAAAGGAACGGAAGGGAAGAGGAAAGGGAACAGGAAAGGAAGGTAAGAGATGACTAGGATGGTTTCTTGAAGTTTCTTGTTTCTTTCAAACTCATTTTTTTGTTGCTTTTTGACATGGTAGGAAGGTAAGTCCTTCGGTTTCGGGGTTGGTCTCATCCCTTTCATCTCTCCGGTCCCTCTCTCTGCACCGAGCCTGGCTGGGAGGCCGAACTCGCTGGGGAGGCCCTCCTTTTGTGTGAACTGCAAGCTAGTCAGCCCCTGTACCCACCCACCCAAGATTCTGTTGCCTACCCAACCCTACCAAAGGTTTAACAACTGCAAGCTTCCCGACAGACGTGCATCTATGTATCGTTTTTGGCCTGGCTCAAAACATACCCGGCCCTATACCCTGCCACTGTGTTCTGAAAGACCTGCTTGTCCCACCTGCCCACTCCTGACACAGGCCTTCTTAAAACATATACAGTAGACGTTTTCTTTTCGTCACTCCAACTTAAACACTCGAGCCTGCCCCGCTGGCATTGTTTTTGAGTTACAACATGCCAGAACTTGTTAACTTGGAGTTTGGGCCTTGGCCAACTTTGCGCTGAACCCACAATTTGTTTCAATATCTTTTTTGGGCTGCCCCTTCAGGCATGTGTGCGTTGGTCATGCCTTTTTTGGTTGCGCCTGTCCCCGCCTCAGAAATCTGTATTGAAGGTCGTCCGGGCCCGGGTGTCTTTCTGGGACATCAGGCGGAATAGTGTTCCCCCACTCGTGCAGCAATAGTAGAAAAACATTGCCTGGCCCATTCTGAGGACGTTCTCCTGGAATGACATGTTGTTGTGAAGATGGTCAACGTATTGAAGAACTAACAAGAAAACAAAGGATAAAAACACCTCAGATCACACCACTATGGAGAAACACATTAGATCACACCACTATGGTGACATAGACATATGTATATTATATGTGTATGATATGTGGTTGTTATTTTGTTATTATTAATATACTTTTAAACTATCATTTTTAGGACGTTAACAACTATAACCGTTTTAGCATCTTTTTTTTTTTTTTTTCCGGGACCGATCCGAGCCGCATTCCGCTCTCTCCGGAGACTTCGTCGACCGAGCCGGTCCGAGACCCGAAGAACCGAAGACCGGCGAGGATTGCCTAAGATGGGCAACTGTAGCTTTGCAGGGAGGCCGAGGAAGAGAGGTGCGAGGTGCGAGGTGCTGATTCAAGGATTGGTCGGGTCTTGGGTCATGCATGACTTCTATACACCTGTCCAACCCGGAGGATGGCCAAAATGGTTTGCCTCATGGCTAGCCATGGTCGAACAACCCATTTGTCACCCACCCATGACACGTCTCGGCGGGTCTCGGCTGGTCTCGCGCTGGGTCCCTGGTCCCAACTGTTTCGCGCACATCAAGCGAACCCAGACAGAGACACCTCAAGCGATTGCGATTGCATTGGGTCAACTCCCCTTGATGTTTGAAAGGTGAGTTGACCCAGATGGCGTCTGCATGTTGGAGTCCTGTGTTGATTTCGTAAGGGGTGCACTAAGGTTTCGTTTCCCGCAACCTATTTGTCCCTTTACTCATGCTGCTGACGGGGGCCAGCTGTCATAGTTGTGTTCTCTCGCAAAGGCCAGCGACGGTTTCACCCCAACCACTACAAGGGTCTTGAGTCTTGAGTTTTGAGGTTGCTTGAGGTGAGCTTGCTAACGAAACCTGATTTGTTTTAGGTGATATGATGTGTATTGCCCCAACAGAGAATGCTGGCCATGATTTCCACTCACAATGCTGCACGAAGAAGACCTCCACCTCTATCAGGACCTCTCAAAAGGGTGCCAGTTGGAGGACCCAGTGCAATCTCCTGAGGTGTTTTGGATGGGTTTCCCATGTACTTGTTGCTTTCGGGAATCAATCATTCTTCAGCCTTGATCATACGCCACCACCACCACAACCAGGACTGCACTTGTTTCGAGTCCCCGTCGAGTGGAGGGTCCAAGCTTCCCAGAGTCGTGACATCGATTGCCAGATGAGGCAACCGAGGTCTTGCTTCCGGACCCACCGAGGTCGTATTTGGGTTGATGAACTCTGTGGTCCTTAAACCCTAAACCCTAAACACAAACCAAACCAAACTCAGTGGCATTTTCGTGTTGCTTAAGACTCTCTTTTTTCAACCCTGCACCCTTCTTCAAAGAATCGCTCAACTCGAGGCTGGCGCCTGGGGTGGCCCAGGTCTAGGCATGCCCTGCCGACGCGAACTGCGCAAAGATCATGGAGATGGAGGGCCAAATCTATAGGTGTTGAACATAGAGATTGACCCAATGGGCTAAAGCATTATTTTTCGAAACTGACCAGGGTGGATCTTTGTTTTGTATTCTTTCCCCACACCTCTAAGTAGATGGTGTTCGGGTCTGAACTCAATACCCAAAGTCCAGGAATATACATGTGTTTCTTGAGGCAGAAAACTCTGAATGTGTATCTAAGCAGGGAGGCAATCGACCGACCGACCCACCCACCAACCAGTCAACCAGTAGGGTTTTGGTATGTTTTGGTCTATTTTTCCTTCTTCCAAGCGGTCGCCGGGAAGTTCGTTTGATGCGGTTGACCAATCGTCCGTTCCACTGGGTAGTCGACTGTTATGAGAAAGATCATAGATTGCCCACCGTTCATCTGTTTCTTGGAAAAAGGGGGAAGGACAAGGCTTGTGATTGTAAGAGACACTCAAATGAGACTAGAACCCTCTGTGGGTCTTGTTTGACCACCAGATGATTTGGCAATGCGGAGGCTCTTCTAAACAGGTGAGTGTTTCCACAAGTTTCCACTGTTCCAGATTCATTGTGCCGTCAGATGGTTCCTTTTTGCAGGATTGGGAGATCTGAAGAAACTGGAGAAGATCATGAGTAACCCAGCCCACACATGGGCAGAAATCCATCTTCCGCCGCGTTGGCTCTGCAGAGCAGGTTGATCGCCCCCCTCGACCCATGGGTCAGTGTACATACCCAGACCATCCATGCGACTGGAATAGTTACATACATTGACCCTAAGTTGGGTCATTCTTCCATACATGCATGGTCTGGGATAGTTCTATCAGGCAGTTTACTTATGATCAACCGCAGAGACCCCACTGAAGCGCAGAGACCGAGTCGAGGCACTGTTTGAGTGGTTCTCTTTTCGGGGATGCCACCTGACACTTGCTTCGGAAGCATTTGAACCCCCAAACAACCTCCACCCTGCGGTTCAGCATGGGCTTCCCCCCCCCACCCTCCTCGCGCGGAGCGGTTGTGCGAACCCGGTTGAGTCGGATCGGCTCGGCGGGTGAGGCCAACAAAGGGTGGCCTTGGCGTCCTACTTCTATGATCGCATGCTGGGGGCCCCCGGCTGGGTGTTTCTTTTTTCTTCTTGTGGTTGTGGCGGCATGTGTGATGGCCGGATATGTCCAACACCGTTTTTTTTGTGTTTCGCAACAGGTGGTGTTGGGTGTTGGGAGTATTTGGGATGGGATAAGGTGAACACTGGGATAGCCCCAATCTAATATACATTCCAACCAGAAAACACTCGTCTAATATGTAACATGCCCTACATTTCGCGCGGTTTGCATGCTTTTTTTGGCCGCCGGAACACTCCTGCGGCTTCGGATTCGCTTCGGACGTCAGCAAGGGGATGGACATTCTGACCAAATCGAAGGGGATTGGACTGGAATGCCCGGCGGTTTGAAGGAAAACCCGATGGACAAGCAAGAGAAAACAGTCTGACATGATATCTCTTTGATTCATATCGCAGGTTTCAATGATATCTCTTTG